TAGGAGTAGCACTCATTTACACAGGCCTCAACTGGGTGCCAAATGTAAAGCGTCTTAAGATTTGGGCAGTGCATCCAGCCACTCTTAAACACTGGTCAGATTCCTTCTGAATGCTCTTTTCTAAGAGCTCCTTTCAAATAAAGATGTCCCCATACCTATTCTTAATCACCGTGTTCCAGGTATGCCCGGACACGTTTGGACATACACTGGAAGTTTGTGACAATAAGACACGTTCAGAGAAGATACAGGGCCTGATTCCCATTTACACTATGGCCATTTACACCCCAGCAACATAATGGAGCTTAGTGTAAATGAGAATGAGGCTCATAGAAAGGAAATTAGTTAAGCAGATCCACCTTTAACTATACCTTTTATGACAACATCATTATTTACATTACAGTAACTTGTAGAGACTGCGACCAGATTGGGACCCTGTGGTGTTAGATGCTGTACAAACGTGTAGTAAGAGACAATCATCACCCCAAAGAACCTACAACATAAGGACTCAATCCTGCAAATGCTTAAACTCAAGGTTTGCTTTAAGCACATGAATAGTATCATAAGCTTGTGCTTAACTTTATTGAAGTCTAAGTCTTTGCAGGATCAGAGACTGAAGATTAAGACCAGACACAACAAGTGCACGTGTAACAAACCAATGGCAGGGGTAAGAAAGGGAGGGATGGGTTGACAGAGTAATACAAACAAAATGTAACACAAAAACCTTCTTGACCTAGTCACTTCATGCACATTTAAAAATTCATAAGCAAACCAAGAACTTCACAAACTATGCTAGCTAGGTCGGTCAGTTTGGATGAGTGGAAAAGAATTAGTTGGAGTCTGAATGGGAGAGAGAGGATGAATCATATGGTATAAAGCAGTTCACATATTTGTGTGTTAACATTCAGAAACACCCTGAAGAAGCCCCATCCTTTTTTCCCACTTTAAATCCCTCGTTCTCTGTTCCCTTTCCCAGGTGAAAAGCCATACAAGTGCACCTGGGAGGGATGCACGTGGAAGTTTGCTCGTTCTGATGAACTAACGCGACATTTCCGTAAACATACCGGAATCAAACCCTTCCAGTGCCCGGACTGTGACCGTAGTTTCTCACGCTCGGACCATCTTGCTCTCCACAGGAAACGCCATATGCTAGTCTGAATGTCTCTTGTCCCTCAGCTGCCCATCACACTTTCTTTTTTACATGTGCATTTTAATTTGGATTCAGCTGGTCTGAATCTCTGCGCTTACACAATTAAAAGCTTCCATATGGTCAGTAATAGATGTTATCTAACCCTGCTATGTCCTTGCCACGGGTCAGACCTAAAGAATGTGAACATTTTTTTTTCTAGGGATGCTAAGCAAACCCTTCCTGCAGACAGTATGTGTAATGTATTCCTTTGTGAATAAGGGAATTTGTAAACTAGCAACTTCGTTGGTTTTGCCATATAATCAGCCAGCATAAATTGATCAACTAGTAAATGTTATAGAATATCCAGTCCTTGCCAGAGACTTTATTTACGAGCCCTGCAAAGGATACACTCTCCTTTTATGCTCAACAGTGCAATGAATGGACTTTCCAACATTGCTGGTTACAGCAGCATGTTTAAAGCAACACTTTTAGAAAGACACCTTCTCACTGTAGAAATCCCCTCTGCCAAGACAGTGAATGACACTGTAATAACTAACTAAGCAAAGTACTCTCTTTACATCATGAAAGATTAAGTGATAGCTGATCTGGACTAAATGAATAATAATATTTGAAGAAGCATCAGCAGAAATTGGTGTATACACATGATTGTGCCTCTAAACCAACATCACCTATCTTTTGTATTATACTGTAGTACATGAGCTTGTGTTTATTGCATGATGCCTCGGTAGATTCCTTAAGTGTGTGATTCCTGTGTGACACTATCTCTGTTTTGTGTGCAGCCGTATAGGTGGAACACATGGTACTCCTATGACATGACATGAAATGATTTTCACAGAGACCTACCATACCTCATTTCAGGGGTAAAGATGTATCCCTCGATAATCACTCCCCTGTGTTTCCTGTTCTTTAAAAACTTCATCATACCTCAAAAGCAGCAGTTATCATATCAAAATGCTCAAAACTGTACCACTGGTGGAAGCGAGTGCCAATTTGATACACTACAGTATTTAAATTTTAGTTCACAAGATTTTTTTTGATGGCAAAAGGCTAAATGGCATCCAATAGGAAGCACTTCCTGTGAGAAATGGAGTTGTGTAAATGTCTCAAATGAAGAGAGTAGGCTTGATAAGCCATTTAATGGCTCTGTGATTTGATTTGTGGCTCTGTTGGTTTCTTGATGCTAGGTGGACCAAGAGATCCCATGGATGTGCTTGTTGTATTAACAAATTGAGTCAGAAAGGTTCAACTCCCAGTTTCAGTTAACAAAATAAAATAAATACCCAAGTAAAACAACCTCAAGTTTGGTGCTAAATCTGTTCCAGAACTTTGGAGGTGTTAACTGCATTAAAAGGGAGGTTCCTGCATTTATTGTTGGCTGCTTTTGTGACACCACAAGGAAACAAGATGTATTTGTCTAGACTGTTATGTCCCACAACGTTTTTTGTTCAGTTCATTATGCAAATTAGGTATAGTTCATGCAATATGAAAATGTCATAGTCAAATTTTCACCTCATGGAAAAACCCACTGGAAAGGAAAATATCTGCATGCTGCCCTCTATGGAAAGGAATTTGAGACCCTGTGACGCAGGAAGTGTTCATAACCTTAAACACTGGACACCTGGAAAATCCTGCATATCCAAGAGTTGCTGTGCCAGTTTACTCTCTTGGCAGTGTGGTTACATCTACCTGACATCCACAGCTGCTCCCCTCTGTCAGCAAAACTGGCAGGAAGGGGAGCGTCTCTAGTAGTATAACTATAGGCCAATGTATAGACATTTGGGAGGGTAAAGAATAAATGTATACCTTACAGCTGTCTGAACTTTAATGCCAAGTGTCAGAGTAATGGGATATTTTCACTTATTGTACAGAAAAGTGTAAAGGGTGCTTCTGACATAAAATATGAAGTATTTTCCCTGCTCTAAAATTAACATTCATATACTAACGTATGGAACTGGACATCCATTTATCTAAGGCAGCGGTTCTCAACCAGGGGCCTGGGGCCCCCTGGGGGTCCATGAGCAGGTTTCAGGGGTTCCCCCAAGCAGGGCATTAGACTCGCTGGGGCCCAGGTCAGAAAGCTGAAGCCCCACTGCATGGGGCTGAAGCCCGACACCTTAATCCCCACCACCCGGGGCTGAAGCCAAAGCCAGCTTCACGGGGGTCCCAGGCAATTGCCCTGCTTGCTACCCCCTAACGCAGGCCCTGGCTTTTATATGCAGAAAACCAGGTGTGCCACAGGTGGGCTGTGGAGTTTTTATAGCATGTTGGTGGGGACTCAGAAAGAAAGAAGTTGAGAGCCCCTGGTCTAAGGAATCTCTTACCCTTTTGCAATGCTGTGGTGTTACACAGTCAAAACATACAGTGAGGAATGAGAATTTTCATACCATATCTCCCAGCACTTGGAAGTTTTGTGTAAGGGATCTGAACCACATTCTGCTGTCCTACACCACTATAAGTCTGGAGTAACTTCCCTGGAATCAGTTGAAGCTATGCCAGATTTATAGTTGTGTAACTGGATAGAAATGTAATTACAGGTAAATTTTCTCAGCCTTCTGTTGATACATGGCTCTGTCACTAACATGAAAAAACTTCCTGGAAAGAGAACTAGCATAGACTAGCACCAATTTTTTTTTAAAGTTCCAGTAACATCACAGAATCAAAATTGATATCAAAATTAAGCTCTAGTTATTTACAGCTAGCTATTCCATACATGAAGAACTCATTGACTTTAATAGGGGCTCCACACAATGAGCTGCACAGGATCAATTCCTGAATTTGAACTTTGAAATATATCACAGGAGGATAGATGTTTGGCATGCTGTGGATGAAAACAACTCAATTATAACCTGGAAACAAGCAGATAGGATCCTATAAAGAAAGGCAGGTGTCAGACGTTCTAATTCCATTTCTATTTTTAACTAATGTATTCGCATCAAATTTGGTATTTTTTGTGACATTAAATTTCCCATGCTGCTAAATTTTTTTTTTTTTTGTTGGTCTTTCATAAAACAGTTAAGTGTTTGCATCTTTTGCTCACTATAATCTGGGGCTACATGCTCTTCTGGCATAACTCCACTGAAGTTACTCCAGCAGAGCATTAAATCCCTGAGATGTAGGCTATTAAATCAGCTGTTAACCTGTTTGCCTCTGTTTAAAGATATTTATAATGAGTTGTAGGGAGAAATACTGTTAAGATACAATATAATTATAAAATGCCCTTGGCCATATGTTTTATGATATAGGACACTGACAGCAGGTTTAAATTTAAACATTAAATAGAATCTTAATTATTTGTAACCAAATAAGATAGTTTCATGTAAATGCCTTGTAATAGGATTTTTCACTTTATATATGTGGTGTCATATCTTCTGGGAAGTCAGAAAAGCAATTACAAAATAAATTTTATCTTTTTAGTTTAAAATGTGAATCTGCATTTTAAATGGGGCATTAACTCTAACTTTGGTTTGGGGAGTGCATCAAAAAAAAATATTAACTAAGGAAATACTAAACAAGCATCAGCTCCAATCTAAAGAGCTCACTCCTCCTCTTGTTGACCTGAATGGAAGCAGGACTGGGTCTAAAGACACGCACACAACTCTGCTGCGGGATTTGCTTTGTGTATTTAAAAGAAAAACCTGTGCACTAGCAATATTGCACTGTATAGTATGTAACTTGGAATACCATTATACTAATATTGTACCTGTATGTACCATTTGACATTATAATGGATTACATATTTCCGAGACAATCCTTCGGAGTTAAACAGGTATGACAGGTAATGTGGTTTTATTTAAATATACACTGTAGTTCTGTAGTGATCTGTCTAATGCCACAAACTTGTCTGAATATGTTGTCTGTGTTTTGTCTCTGTCAAGGTTAGCAAACTGTAAATGAATGCAAATCCTTTCTTAAAACAAAAAACATTTTACATGTATTAAGAGGGTTACAAAAATTTTCATTGTTTTACAGATATTAGCACTTTTCTGCTATTTATGTACCTTAAATGTTAGAGGGTCAAAATAATCTTTCTGCTTAGCATTTCTTAAAACATTACCTGCAAATATAGCAGGGATATTACATTTACTTTAATACTTGTATAAACTATACAGAAATTTTTTAATAAAATGTAATATATTTTATAAGCTAATAAGACTGAGTGGGTAATTAAAGGTTTCTAGCATGCATTACTATAACTTGCAAATACTGAAACATTTTGGTAATCTTTCTTACTAAAGATGTGAATGTTTAATGTACTTTCACTGTTTCTACTTTGGTAGTCCAATGGGAATTCAGTAATGACATTTTGTCATGTCAAACTGTGAACATAAATTTGTACTGTACAGTCCTCATACTATATACAGTATACAATATGTATTATACTTGTTAATAAAACTATCAGAATATTAAATGTGATCATGAAGTTATATACCATACAACAAAATATACTTACATATGAACAAGGATGTTCAGAAAAGAAGCTTTAGAAATATGTAAAATTAGCACTTGTTGAAATGCAAAACAAAAAAATCTAGAAGCACAATTTCCCATTTCTGAATCCTAAAAAAACCCTTCAGAAGTCAGATTGCTGGAATATCTAAAGCACCATACATATTTTCATGCGTTTTCTATATCCATTAAAGAGTATGCTGATCTATCAATCATATAGATTATGGTTAGATTCACTACAGTCCATGCACCACATATCTCATGGATACATCTGAATGAAGAGGGTAAAGCAAAACAAAAAACTTAGTGCAAACAGGTCACTGGATTTTGATTCCATCCCCTCTTTATTATTTGCTATTCCCTAGCAACCAAACTTTTTTATACTAATGTTTTTCAAAAAGTGAATTTCAGGTTCACAGTCAAGATTAGTTGAATGAATGAATAAATAATGTTTGAGGCAGATGTTGTTTATTATAAGATATAGGCCATCCAATCACGGAACAGAAACAAGACTATATGACGTTGGTACGTATGAATTCCAAACATTGAATCACTGACTCAATAATTGCTCTGAACTGTTTGTGAGAAATCCAAGCTCAAATAAATTGGTAAAAACAATTAACAAATTCTACTTTCACAACCGAGTTTTGATGAAAGATTTTGCACAGCTCATAAAGCAGATATCCCTTTCTCATATGGCATAGTTATAATATTCAAGCCAATTCCGTCTGTATAGCCGCCCCTGGTTTTTTTTTGTGTGTGTCCCCAATGTCAAATGGCAAAAGCAAGCAGCTTTTCTTCCCTTAGTTCCTTTCCCATTCTAATCCTGCTCTCATTTCATGGTCTGGCCTATATTTGTTTTTCTCCCCAAAAATCTTGCTGTTGACTCAACTGATGGGAATGTGTGCTCTGGAAGCGTAGGATCCCTACCCATTTCTGTGAAGTTCTGAGTGGCTACGGTTTGCAACATAATGACAAATGGAGCAGCAGAGGTGGCAGCAGATTTCTTACAATACTGTATATTTTATTTGTATTATAGTAGCACCTAGAAGCCTCATTGTGCTACTATGTGTATATAAAATATAGTCCCTGTCCGAAGGAGCCTACAATCAGCAGATCTATATGCAGGAGTATAATAAAGCAACTAGTAATTGCATTGAAAGGTAAATTGAATATGTTTGATATCAGAGTTTAGGGAGGGAAAGGAAGTAAATCCATCCCCTAATATACTTTGCAATACACTCCCTTCCAAATTCTTTAGCTATCCTCAAAGCAATGATGCTGACCCTAATTAAACCAGCAGCTTTTCTCCAACTGCTACTACTAAGCCATGGAGGAGGGGAAAGCAGCCAATAATGGTATAGATTCTGAAGAAGTCTTTCTGCAAGGGAGTAGCATGGGGGAGCTGAGGAGCAACACAAGTGCTTTGAATTCTGTGGGGCTAGAGGCAGAGTTCCCCCACAGATCAATGGGGTCCATGGTTTTGAAAGTCCACACCTGTTTCCCTTGAAAACCCCCAACCTCTTTTCCTCTGAGGGCAGCCTGCAAAGTACAGGCTACTTCACTGAGGCCTGGTCTATACTACAGAGTTTTGTCAATGCAACGTATGCCGACACACAGCCACCACTTTAATTAAACCGCTGTTGCATATCCACACTGTGTTCTTTGTGTTGGCAGAGCTCAGCCACAATAGCAGCTCTTGCAGTGACACAGAGAGCAGCGTGGGTAGCTATCCCACTGTGCAACTGGCCACAGGGTGCTTTGGGAAGGGTTTGCAATGCCTCATGGGGCAGGTACAGCATCACATGATGCAGGTTTCTCAATCCCATCATTCCATGGGCATCCTATTAGATTGCCAGCTGCTTTTCAACTGAAGTGGGGGAGGGGGAAGTGTGTGTGTTGGTGGAGAGTGAGTACGTCAGGCATGCCGTCTTTTTAAGTTCACACAGAAGCTGGATGAAATGGTGCAACCAGTCCTGAGGAAGGGGGAGGGGCACCCCACACACACACACATCAGCCCCTGCCTCCCTCCCTGGCTTTGCATAGCAGAGCATGAGTCTCTTGCCCTCCTCCTCCAGCAGTAGCCTGCCCTGCCTTCCTGCTTCTGCTGTGGGAGAGCAGGATTCCATATTAATGATTCTGTGATTCCCTCAGGCTTGGTCTACTCTTACCCCCCAATTCGAACTAAGGTACGCAACTTCAGCTACGTGAATAACGTAGCTGAAGTTCGAAATACCTTAGTTCGAACTTACCTCAGTCCACACGCGGCAGGCAGGCTCCCCCGTCGACTCCACGGTACTCCTCTCGTCTAGCTGGAGTACCGCAGTCGACGGCGATCACTTCCTGGTTCGACTTATCGCGTCCAGACAAGACGCGATAAGTCGAACCCAGAAGTTCGATTTCCAGCCGCCGAACTAGCGGCTGGGTATAGACGTACCCTCAGAGGTCTCCCACAGCCTCCTCTCCCCACAGCCCAAGAAGATCCATCCCCTCCCCTGTAGTCCAGGCAGGAGTGTGTTTGCTGCTGGAACCGGCATGCTCAGCTGGCAGAAGCTATGTGAGCTCTCCATGCTGAGCAGTTTCCAAACTTTGAGGGGCT